ATTTTTATATAACTTGGTTTATATATATATATATATATATATATATATATATATATATATCAGGGGCAAGGGAGGCAGTGTCTCCTCAAGATATTGGATGAGAAAAAAAAATCACAGTACAAAAATAAAACAACTCCAATATTACAAAACATAACATTATAATATAACACTTGTTTTTCTAAAGAAAATTGCCCAACAGCGACACCAGCAGGTAATGTTACAGCGGGAGTCTGTGTCTCTCACGCCTCCCCTGAGCCCATTAAGTTTTATCAGACCCCCTAAAGCGTACCGTGAGTTTGCTGGGGTGTAATTGAAAATGAATGGGGGAAAGTCACACCATGAGAAGAGGTGATATGATCGCATTCGCTGTTCGGCTGTGATTGGTTCATGTGATAAATCCCACCTCTTGTGTTTGTGCACGTTCTGCATTCGCAAATCAGTCTGAATGAACAATATAATGGCGTTAATGGGAAGACTAATTTAAAAAAGTAAGTAAACAACTCACACACTTAGATATAACCACTTTGTTACATTAAAATAAGACTTAAAATGACATGAAAACATGATCTGTGGGTGTTTTTAGTGAGTAATCAGCTTGGTGAAATTTACAGTAAATCTCTGCATCTGTGACAAATATTTACCAAGCTTTTCAAGCTTTCTGAATAAATTCAAAAACCGTTAAAAGTTAACTGTTAAAAAGAATACCTGAACATAAATTCACAAATAAATTATATTGTTTAAATTGTTACTGCCTTGAGTTTTTATTTTGAAATAAATGTAAAATGCTTAAAAACACTTAACTTTTTTTCATACTTTGCTTTAATAAACAGAATATTGATTACATTGTTAATGCAAAAATATAAAATATAATTTCTTATTCTGAAAGTGTAATTAATGTTTACTTAACCAAGAAAATGTGACTGGGACATGAATTTACATTTGATAAAAAAAAAAAAAAACGTCCTCAAAAAAAACCCCTCCTCATTTCAGAACACCACCACACAACACTGATATACAGTATATGTGTGTGTGTGTGTGTGTGTGTATATATACAGTATCTCACAGAAGTGAGTACACCCCTCACATTTTTGTAAATATTTTATTATATCTTTTCATGTGACAACACTGAAGAAATTACACTTTGCTACAATGTAAAGTAGTGAGTGTACAGCTTGTATAACAGTGTAAATTTGCTGTGCCCTCAAAATAACTCAACACACAGCCATTAATGTCTAAACCGCTGGCCACAAAAGTGAGTACACCCCTAAGTGAAAATGTCCAAATTGGGCCCAATTAGCCATTTTCTCTCCCCGGTGTCATGTGACTCATTAGTGTTACAAGGTCTCAGGTGTGAATTAAACACGTTAAATTTGGTGTTATCGCTCTCACTCTCTCATACTCTGTGTGTTGAGTTATTTTGAGGGCACAGCAAATTTACACTGTTATACAAGCTGTACACTCACTACTTTACATTGTAGCAAAGTGTCATTTCTTCAGTGTTGTCACCTGAAAAGATATAATAAAATATTTACAAAAATGTGAGGGGTGTACTCACTTCTGTGAGATACTGTATATATACTCCAGATATCTATGAACAGTATCCTGCTCTTCTTGAGAGTCCTAACTTCATCAATTTATGAAACAGGATCTTCTAATAAACACACATCATTAGGAGAGGTCATGAGATTTTGATATTCATGAGAGGAAACCCCTAAGAAAGAAGACATCATGTGTGGGTTGTGTTATACGAGCGTGTTACAGGAGGTCTTCCTACATACGAGACTGACTCATCTAAAACCACTTCTCTCCCCTCTTTAAATTTCTACGTGACTATTAAAAACCACGGGATGTTAAGATGTTAAGGTTCAGATGTGAACATCTCACCAAGTGCGTTCATGTGACAGACAGTGTATGTTTCGTAATGGTTTCACAGTGAACCATGAATGGTGGCAATTCAGAGTTCATCTTACAGACATTCCTCTTTCAAATGGCCACTTTAGTGAGGACAAAAGCCATCTCCCATCTTTAATAATTTATGTTAACGCAAGCCAAACAGAGGCATGAATGGGCTCATTCAAACCTTCTGGCACACCAACTCAAACCTTTACCTTGTCCATCCTTGTTTTTGTCCCCGTGTGGGATTCGGTTGATGCTCAGGATGTACCCATCCTCAGTAACCACTTCAAATTCTTCAGCTGGGTAGCCCCAATGTCTGATGATCTCACTCTACAAGAGACAAACATATTGGTGAACATGGGCAAAGTCCATGAGAAGCATGACAGCATGGAGAAATCAATGGAAACCATGTAAGATAAAGGAAATTAAATAGAACAGCAAACACATGCATTCTCTCTTTAGACAATACAACACTTCAAAATAGCACAAGCATTGTTCTATTGTGATGAAAGCAGTATAATGTCATTCATTTGAAGAAGAAATATAAGGCCTAAGTATTTTTAAGAATAGCTACATTTCTTCTTTGCTAAGGTCTACAATGAATGTCATCAATGTGGCAGTATTTTTAAATGTAATGAAAATAGAAAACACCACTTCAGCTTAAATTCTTAGTTTAGTTTTTCTTTTCAAGAGCACAATTATTTAAGCTGTATGGTGACACACTGCTCCTCCTCCAGATATGAGATACATTATAATCAGAGACTTCAAAGAAACTGTGTGAGCTTGTTGGTTCCAGGCCTGCCATGCAATCTCCCCATGCATAATTAAAGGCTCTGCAATTTCCCACTCCCACTGGGTCTTCTGTCTGCTCATTCTACTTTAGGCCACTTAAGGATAAACCCACTGCTGGCTCAACACACATTATGGGGAGAGTAAGCACTGGGGGATCTCTCTCTCTCTTGTATTCATCCTCTTTTCATGCAGAAATAGCGTGTGTTGGAATTTGGAAACAAGTAATATTTTGTGCACTTCTGCAGAATGAAAATACAAGAGGAAATAAGTCTGATGAAATGCAGAATGTGACCACTACTGAAAATATGGAGAACTTCATGGCAGCATTATAAAGAATTTAATTTTCCCTGTAATCAAGAGCAAATATATCTGAGCTCCAAATCATTTGAAGTATATTTTTAGTATAGCAGTGTCATTTTTATTTTTTTTAGATTTATAATACTTTTGCCCATCCTAAATTAATGTGCAGAGAGACCTAAGCAAGTTTTTTTAGCAGTCCAATATAGCAAAACAGACTCAACTAACGGGTGTTTACATGCAAAAATGACACACTTCACTTAAAGTCAACATGGAATTATTATCATTATTTTTTTTTTTCCAGAAAAACTTTTCTCTGATGCTGTATGTCGGACTTCTTCAATCATTCAGTCTGCTTAAACACTGCCAGTTTCTTTCAATTGACTGCAAGCTTGCATTCAGATCTGCCTCCATCAATTCAACAACCAATGGATAGAACCAAGTCCCCGCCCCACATTTTTCCTTTTCTGATATTCTTTTTCACTAAGCTATACATCACAATCCAAAGATCTGTTGCTACTTCGGTTACATTGTGACTTTGAAGGGAAAGTTCACCCCAAAATAAAATTTCTATAATTTTTTTACTCATCCTGAATGATCCTGTACATTTTTATGTTTTCTTTGTAACACAGAATTATTATTGTATGGCTATTGTACGGCTTCAGAAGAAGACTATGGAATATGGGTACAAGTCAAATGGATTTTCTTTTTTTCCTTATGGATCTTGCCACTACAAACTGTTGTTGTATGGAAAAGAACTGTGTGCAGAGTATTTAAATTCTCTTACCATGTTCCAATGAAATAATAATAATACCATATTCTCATTTTTGTGTAAACTATTCTTTTAAGTAGTCCAAGTGACAAATTTTTAAGGCTCAATAGGCTCTATTCTGGGTCTAAAACCCAGTTATTGTATTAATACCAACAAACCACTGTCTTATCTGCGTTTCTGCAAATGGTTATTTGACCCGTACAAATGATCAAACAATGATTATGAGTTATCATTATTTAAACCAAGAAAACTTGTTTTGTATCTAACCACACATGAAAGTGCATGAATGTACTTCAATTTCCTTTCAGAGTCTGTGGGAAAATATGAACCAAGAACTAATATACACTTTTACAAGTGATAACATGATGATGTGCTCTGCAAGCAGCTACCAAGAGCTATAGTGAATCATGGGAGGACAAAGTGCAAATGAGCAAGAAGTTTGCTAGCCGCACACTGAATCCAGTAAAAGCTGAAAAAGTCTAGCAAAATATTTTTTATTTTATAAATTGCATCATGCAAAAAGTGCAGGGTGCATGTAAATTAAAAACAAATAGACAAGAGCAAGCAGACGTTTCAGCACATTGCTATCTTCAGTGCTCACCAAAGGACAAAGTGCAAAATATATTTTGTTATAGAGATAGTCAACTAATGAATCCACTTCTCTCTAGAGCACGAGACAAAACGGAGAACTGGAAATAATATTAAAATATTTTTTATTTTATAAATTGCATCATGCAAAAAGTGCAGGGTGCATGTAAATTAAAAACAAATAGACAAGAGCAAGCAGACGTTTCAGCACATTGCTATCTTCAGTGCTCACCAAAGGACAAAGTGCAAAATATATTTTGTTATAGAGATAGTCAACTAATGAATCCACTTCTCTCTAGAGCACGAGACAAAACGGAGAACTGGAAATAATATTACAAATGTAGTGCAAAGTTCACTACAGGAATAATATGACATGACATGTCAGCTAAAGCAGATAAAGCTAGCAAAATATATATAAAATAAATTCATGTAAGTCTGTTATACTGTTATGAAAATATCATTGATTTACATTACAAGCTATCAATTTTATCTTATTTTTTGTCATAAAAATAACATCTGCACCAAACTGCATATTTTTTCTTAGCTTGGGTCTCTAAATAAAACTGATGTGTTTTATCCCCTATGAGTGTGAGCTCCACACTATATTACACCTCAGTAACTCTGCATTTCACAAAATGAACAGTATTGTCCACATAGCTGATATGAATTATGTTTATTGACTTCACGGCATGTCATTGCGATGAATGGTAAAAGTGACCCAATTTACCTGAAATTATTCAATATTTATGGTGTTTTTTTCACTTATTGACAATTTTGCTGCACAGTAATGAAGAACACTCCTTGCAGCTTATTACATGTAAGTTGTAATTACTGGCTACTTACAATGTTCATATCTACTTCAGGGTCCAGTCGTGTCTTGTCCAGAATAGGCGGCCTGCACCGAACCAGCCCAGATGTAAGCAGTACCAGAGACAACACCAGCCTTGACATCTTTCTGTCAAGCATTCACAAACAGTGAATTAACATACAGGGTCTCCCAAGACACCCTAATCTACACCAGTGTTAGAAAGCTATGTTAATCTTTCTTCAGCAGCCATCAATATATTGTTTAGTGTTGCTCAACATGTATCACGTGACTTTAAAGTAAGCGATACATAGCATGAAAATTCAAGGTCAATGTAGCTAAAACCATTATTTGTTCAGACAAAACAAGCTGCCAAAACAAACATTGCTGAACATCACTGTACTGTATTATATGAGAGCAGTTTGATTGGGAAACATGCAATATATATTTCTGTTACCATAAATATTGTATAAGGTAGGCTAGAGACAATATAATTTGTTTCTACTTTAATTAAGCACATTATAGTTTTTGCAGGGTTTAAATATTTAATTTTACAGCCCTGCGTTTTCACAAAGCAAAAGCAGTTTACGTAGCACATCTGAATGGTTTTGAATGACAGGTAGCCAAGCTTTTGAAATATAACGAACGAACGAAAGTCAGTCGGTGCAAACAAAACGTTTAAATCACTGTAAGTTAATTACGTAGTAGCTTCACACACTTCCTCGTACTGTAAATTAATTCACTGCTAATTCTTTGAGTCGCCACTACGTAATTCCTAGCAGCACATACATATATGTGAAAAAATATGAACGTTTTAAGCTGATAGAGACTAATGGTCTGATGAACCGTGTTTATTAAATGGTCCTAAGCATTGAATAACGAGAGAAAAACGAGCTCAGTTAGTGAAAACCCAACTTCGGCTGAGCTCTCCATAGCAGCGTACTGAAATCAAAGTGGAGCATCAGTACTGACCAGTGACCGCACTGATAGCGATGAAAATGCTTTAACAGCTGACAATAACATCATGACCCGCCCACTGTTCTGGAGCGCCTTTAATCAATCAGACCCCCTTCCTGAAGAAGAATGATTCATTCATGTATTAGCTGCTTTCTTCCTAATTTAAGTCTCCTTCATTATTATTTAAATGTTTGTCAAACTGACGTCGTCATTAGGTTACTTAAAATTTGTGTTTTTTTAGATAATGAGAATAAAATATATATTTTATGCTTTGCAGAGATCACTTCAGCCAATTGTCTGCTATTAAATAATAAGAATTTTAAAAATGACATTTGAGTTTGAGTTTACATTTGAGTTCGTACTCTGCTTTTAATGTACAGGTAAAACTTATATATAATTTTGTATTATTATTATTATTATTATTATTATTAAGTTTGGATATGTTGGGCACACACAAAACCAATATTGAAAAACCAAGGGAATGTTTTGGTTGGCCAACAAAAACCATTCGGCTTTCATAATTCTTAAAGGGACAGGGTGCTAAAGCGCGTGAGCACTTCAAACAAGCAAGATCGCTTTGCTATTTGACATAAGCAACTGCTTATTATTTACCTTTTCTAAAAAAAAAATGTCTCGAGTTCTAATAGTTGGTGCTGGACTTACAGGCAGTTTATGTGCCTGTCTTCTGCGGAGGGAGCTGCCAAACAAAGCTAATATAGTCGTATGGGACAAATCTCGGGGTGCAGGTTAGCGTCTTAATTTGTTTTGACTCAGAATGTTTATTTTATATACTGATGTGAAACACTTTATTGAGTGGTGGATGTCTATCGCTTTTAATCATTGAATTAGTGGTATGTGCAACATATTGACAACTGTCATTCATAATCACATGTCAAAATGCTTTTCTAAACTGGTGAACTGCTGATCTGTAAAGGTCAGGAAGGTGAGCAGAAAATAAGCAGAAATTATATGAGGTAACTACAGATTTATTATAAGAAAGTTTTCGACGTCAAATTCATAAATTGACTCTTCACCTGAAAGAAAAGACTGAGCAAGTCCTGATTTTATTTCTATGCACGATAACCAACCTGGAGTCCTTTGATTGACAGGACACGCCCACTTCAAATCTCATCAAATAACCCACTGATTAGAATGTGGATGATTAGTTGTTAATAAAACAAAATAGTTAACGCTGACCCATTCTAGCCAAATTGCAACAATTGTTTACAGTAATTAATTAACATAACATTTTCTCAATATGGGTAAAAACTACACAGAACAAATATGGTTGGAATACAGAATCACACAACAAGGCCGCTGCTTACTGACAATAACCATAAAAGGGTTTGTACACCAAAAATAAATAAATAATTAATTTGTTCGACCTCATGTCATTTCAAACCAATAAGTTTCAAAACTTATTGGTTTGAATCTTCAAAACACTAATGAAGATATTTTAACGAAACCTTATTTCTGTTCATGCATTCAAAGTTAATTTCACCAAACCTTTGATGCTTGAAAACTACATTGTAAAAGTATTCAATATTGAGCAGTATAATCATGTCATGTCACTTTATGAGGAACATGTTTAAATTAGGCATTTCTTTACATTTAAACATTGCTCAACATACATAGAGAACATCAAATGTGGTAAACAGAAGATCAAATGTTCTTGTTTCATGTGAGAGAACAATCAAGTATTTGACCTGTATATTTAAAAAAAAAATAAAAATTTGTGGTTTAAAAATAATCCCCAAAATACAAGCCTACACATTTTTTTTCCCGTAAGCATTTTTAAATATTATTCACACAAATTAACTTTATCATAGACAAAGTGTTAGTGGCTCTGAGGAGAACATACTGAAGTTTTTTTTAAGCTCACTTGAAAGACTTTTATAAAGGTCAGAGCAACTGTTCCAAATGTTCCAAAACTCAACCATAAATATGATTAAAAACTATCTGATATGACCACTTATTTATGATATGCATATTTTATTTTACAATATTTACAATAGTTTTTTCAAGTTTGTGCGTTAGTAATATAATTACCGATGTTTATGTATTTACATTGATGCTAATGTTTTCATTCAGAAATCTCATTTAATCTCTAATGATTAAAAAGCCCTATTTTATATTTCCCATCGATTTGACCTAATGATATTTTGAATAGATGGTAAAGATATTTTGCATTTATGTTATAGGGGGGAGAATGTCCACAAGCAGAAGTCCAAATGATCCTTCATGCACGGTTGATCTTGGTGCTCAATACATAAGTGCGACACCGTACTACGCTCGTATTCACAGCAGGTGGGCTACTTCTCTAATCTCTAATTTTATGAGGTTAAAAGTTTTTTTCACTTTAATTATGTGAAAATCATTTTTTGGATCTTGTAGTGACTAATGCTTTTTGGTATTTTTAGTTTTTACAAAGAACTCTTAGCACAAGACATTTTAAAACCTCTTGTTGCTCCTGTTGAAGGCATGATGTTGAAGGAAGAAGGAATTGTGAACTATGTGACACCCCATGGGGTTTCCTCCATCGTCAAACACTATCTCAAAGAGTCAGGTGCGTCATTTGAGTTTAGGTTTAACTTCTTTCCTAAAAATTGCAGACTTTTTTCTTCTGGTTTTGCTTTAAAGGGGTCATATGATGCTGCTAAAAATCTTTATGCGCCAAGAGCTTCTAACACTCCAAAGAGAAAGGAAAAATTGAAATCGCATCATATGACCCCTTTAAGTCATACTGATGATATACACTACCATTCAAAAGAATTCATAAGAGACATTTAAGCCTTGCAAACTGTTTCCATCAAAAATGCCAGGCAATTTATTATATCAAATGTCTAGATTTCATTTAAAACATGTATTAAAATAGCAAAAATAACATTCGCTGGAGCCTTTTCCATCGGGGCAATTTCACACAGAAATGCTTTTTATATATTTACACAATCAGAGAAGCAAGACAGATTTAATAACCGATTTTATCACTGTTCATAAAGCAGCTGTTTTTCATCAGCTGTTTAATGACAGAAATGTGCTGCCAGAAAATAAATTATTTTTGGGTCAGCAAGACCCTGAGTCATCCAGCTGTTGTTCCTTCTAAATGTTACTTTTCTAGAAATACGTCTGATTTCCTAGAGAGAGCGCAGAAGAATTTGGCCAGACCGTGCAAGCTGATTTATGAACTCAGTCTTTGGAAACAGTTCAGGATGTTTTGATATTGTGCATGTGCTGGAACAAAGAACAAAAAGCAGCAGTCAGATGGAACTGCTTTAATATGTGCAGCAACACTGCAAAATGACAGTTATTTAAAGATTAGCAAAACAGTAAGGAAAACTGAATGTGAAAAGTGAATTATGTGTATATGCACTCTATTTATCACCATTGCCCTGATATTGATTTCATATATTTCTTTTAACATTGTTCTGTCACCTTAAGCCTTTTGTGAAAAACTATGTGTTAATTCATACATTATACAAGATACATTTTTCATATACTGTAACTGTGGGATTGGGTTTATTTCCATCGTTGCTCTTGTATCTTCCATTGTCCTCATTTGTAAGTTGCTTTGGATAAAAGCGTCTGCTAAATGACTAAATGTAATGAGAGATCATGTAGAAATATTTGCATGTGCTATAAACCAAATCTTGACTTCTCAGTGATACATAATCTGAACTTTCTTTCTGTGACTTTCTTTGGAATTCTTTCCTTCCCTCTTTTTCCTTTTCATCTCTTTTTTGCTGTGTGCAACATTGCCAACTGTGCCCCTCCGCACTCAAGCAGGAGCAGAGGTGCTCTATGACCGACACGTCACTCACATTCACCGGAAAGACGCTGGCTGGGAAGTGTGTCACAAAGGAGGAGCGCCAGAGCGGTTTGACATTGTGGTTTTAACCATGCCAGTACCCCAAATACTTCAGCTACAAGGAGACGTGGAATCTTGTGAGTACATTTCCACACTGTCGCAAACACACATACACACACTTTGGCCTTAAAATTGAAATATGACCTTTGGTTTTGCTGTCTGTCATTGTTTCTTTGTCTTTTTTTTGTTTAAATTTTTTTATTTATATTTTACATATTATAACAACAATTTCAAAAACAAAACAAATTTTCTTGCCCTAACAGAGCTCCCCACCCGCACTGCGTCGTTATTATACATTATATTATGCACACTCAACTCTGAATCTGTTCTAAAATAAAAAATAAATAAAGGAGGGAAAGAAAGAGGGAAAAAATGACAAACAGCAAATATTAAATTTGGATCCATTTGCTCTATGTATGTCAGCACTGGCTGCCAAATAGAAAAAAAAGTTTGACTACAGCTTTTGGTGGAGTACCGAATCTTCTCTAGTGCAAGATGATACATAAGATCCCTAATCCAGTGACTAAAAGTAGGTGGAGATTTGTCCTTCCACTTACGCAATATAAGACGTCTAGCTATTAAAGTTGAAAAAGAAATCATATTTTTTTTATTATTATCTAATGCTGGGTACACACCACAAGATAATCGGGCTGAGTTTGGGCCGATTTCTCCCCTTCCGACAATCCTATGTCCCTATTATCTTGGTGGTTCTAAAGATTATCTTATCAGATTTTCCTGTGGTGTGAGGTGTGTTAAGAGTGACTGAATCTGCTCGGATGAACGTCGAAGGCGCCCTGATCGCGAATCGTAAATATTCAACATGTTGAATATTTACGATCAGAAATCCTGATGTGTGAGGGGAACCCCGAAGCAAATGTGTGTACGATCTGGAGATTATCACGTGAAACGAAACAATATCCAATCAGAAAGCGAGCTGACAGAAGACGGAAGCATAACAAACGCAGTCATCGCAATTTCTTCCTGCCTATCGTCCGCCATGTTTATTCTCAAGTCTCGAGAGATTTTGCGAGATTTCCTGTGTTCACAGTCGGGACTCTGGTTGAAAATCTGTTGGTGTGTGGTGCGCTGTCTTTGTCACATCGCGGCACACCATACACTATAGGAGCAAAACGGTTAAATCTAGGATTTTTTGTCCTAATGTTTGTGATCTCTCACATTTTAAAAATCTTTTAGTGTGTACCCAACATAAGCAGAGTTCTGT